GCAAAAAATTCATTCAACCTCATAATAAATTCTTTGAAGGGATTTGTAGTAGAAACATCAATCATGAATAAAACAAAGGATAAATGGCACAGTGGGTGGCATCTGCAGTTATGTTTGCAGCTTCTGCTCAAAGAAGGTAGAACACTTGGCTTCCATCGTTGGTACTGAGAAAAACAAAGGCAACTGTTCATCTACTTTTAATATGGTAATATGACATTATGGGAATAGATGTTCTTAGTTGCAGAAATATTCATGGCCACACTGTTTTTATTGAAAACAGCAAAAACTTTATCCACACGCAGATGTCTTAGGAAGAATGATTTCAGAAAAGCCCACTGCCTCCAGTACAAAATGGGAGAGTTCACAAGAGAGGCTTCAGCAACTTCATGCATCTGGAGCATCTCTAGAGAGCTGCTAGGGAGCTGGGTGAGTGCCAGCTCAAGGAGCATAGATCTATGTCCCCATCCCTGGAGCTGTATTACTGACCCAGAGATCAGAGACCCGGTGGCAGTAGAGGTGATGGAGCATGAGAAGAAAGTGATGGAAATGGGTGATTATGAGCTAAGCCATTTTTACTCTGTGTGTCAGCTAGATTGTGTTGCAGCAGATTGACAAGTCAGTTCATAATAGGATTTAATAGAGAAACCAGGGAAACAAATACAACTTTCTGAGTGAAATTTGTAGTGACAAAGCAAAACAAAATAAAACAAAAACTAATACTGTGATAAAAATACCACTGTAATTATAGTAAATGCACAACTTAGTAAAAATAAGAAAACTGCTTCACAAACCTCAAATGAGAAAATGAAATGTGTTGATTCTCTCACTCTTAATCAACACAGTGCTCCAATCTCAGTCACAGAAAAAAAAAGCCAATAATCAAAAATGAATTATTAGCAGTAAACAAAGAAATTAAATTGCAAACTTTCATACACAATGTATTTTTATATTGAAAAGATTCTCAAAACTTCATCAGAAAACTCTTAGACCTGAAAATACTTTTAGCAAAGAGGAGGATACAAAGACATCATATCATACTGGGTACTGCTGTTCTAGGATTCAGGTGAGAAGACTCAATATTGTTGAAGCTCTGTCTCTCGCCTGGGTCTTTCCCCACACATCTTTACTATGTGATTTATATTAGAAAGATTATTCATAAAAAGGGTGAAACTGTGAAAGAGAGATCCTTAAACCAACCTGTGTGTTTGTCTGACCATGGATATTTAAAAAAAATTGATTTTCCTCCTTAATAAATGTCCCCCTGCTACTATTTTCAAAGCACAGTTTTTAAGTTCAATAGATTGACTAAACAATCATTTAACATTTACTGCAAATGTTCCTCAGTCACTCAATAT